AAATGAAACAGCATTTCTATTAATCCATTTTAATTAGGATTATGGAACACAATCGCTTCCATACTCCACAGCTCAATCAGAGATAAACTGAAAGTCCTGTTTAGCTCAAATTTTCATGTTTTAAAACTCACATTTATGAAAGTCTGGAGGTTTAATAAAGAAAAAAACTATCTTTTTTATTCAAATTAACGTTTTAATTTGATGTTAAAATGTTGTCTTATTAAAACTTGTTTTAACTGTTACTGAAACAGGATGAGGTCATTAAGCTCGAGGAGGAAAAAACAAACTCACCAACTCTGACGTTAACTGAGCAGCTTTTATCCAGTGACTTAAAGCAGCACAGATATGTCCCAGAATCTGAGAGTGTCAATGAGGACAGTCTCAGAGACAAGTTCCCTTTGGTCAGCTCCTCAGGAAACAGAGACGTCCATCCTTTAAACTGCTCTCTCTGCCCTGCAGGATCATCTCTTCCTCCCTGATAAAGATGGACGACATCAGCTCCACGTCTCCACTCCACTCTTAGGTCCGTAGCGTCCAGCGGTGGCTCCAGGACACACTGCAGGACGATGTCCTCGCTGTACGTCGCCTCCATCGTCCCAGAGGGACAAACTGTCTCCGTCTCTGCAGGAAAAAATCATTTTATTAACAAAACTTTGTCCATTATTTAACAGCGGGTCACGGGAGTTTTAGCTGCTTTGTTTACTTTATTAATTAGACTAATAATCTGAATTATTTGACCTTTTCACCACTTTGTAAAAACTACAGCTGTCATAATTTAAATTTAGGTTATATTGTAACGAAAGCAGAAATAAAATGCTTTTCTACAGACTTTGTTCTGTTTTATCCATAAATCAAAACCTTCAGCTCATATAGTAACTTTTATACTTTTAAAATATTAACTGAAAATAACTTCATTTAAAAAGTAAAAAAAACCTTTCCTCCTCAGTTCCTTTTTTTCTGTTCTACCTTTACCTTCTAATGCTGTCAGTAAATCTTTTGAATCTTTTACCTTTTAGCTGAGACTTTTTTTGTTTTTGTAATTTAATTCCATAATGTCTGAAGTGATTTACAAGTTATCTAAAAAAAACAAGTTTGCTGTCAAGCAGAGATTCTTGGTTTTGAAGCTTTCCTGCAGGCTGAGTAACAAAACCTTTAAGCAGAGGAACATTCCTAAACACTCCTCCAGACTGCTGTTTGACTCACCGTGGATTCTTGTTGAGGCGGGAAACAAAACTAACARGACCAGCAGAACCAACTTCATTCTTGTCAAAACACAAAAATAAATTCATAATGAGTCCTTAAAGTCCTGGGGGTAAACATTTAAGAACAAAAAAACTTAAAATAGATGACATGTCGTCCAGACTGTTTCAGTCAGCGTAATTCTACGTGTTTGTTTAATGTTTCTGTCTCAACTAGTTTCAGTTTTGTGTGGTTTCRTGTCTGTCTTTATTAGGAGGAGCAAAAAACCAGAGGGCCCGCAGAGGCTGCAGTTCTACAGATGACCACCAGAGGCGACAAAACCCCGTTAACCATCTTCATCATCATCAATTTTCTTCTAAGCACTTGTCACATTTCTCAGTCACACAATAAAGGCCTGTTTGTGTTGTAAAGAATGCATATCACCTGCCAGAGWTGTAGACTGGAGTTATGATGAGAACTGATGGAGGTGTATCTGCTTTGGTCAAACTTTAAAACTCTTACCTGAAACCTGTTTGTGCTCAGAGTTTGTGTTGTGAATGACTCTCAGCTACTACCACACTAAATTCAAATTATGTCAGAATCAAAACCATTTATCTGCTTCCTGTTGCAGCAACCAGAGAATGTGTCTGACTCTAAAAGTCAATACTCTGCAGGAGTAAACCCAGTATTACTGAGTTTCATTCAGGTCTGTGTYTGGTTCATGAGATATTTTGCTAACAGTACAGAGTAACATAGCATCATGGCTCCGCCTTCCTTCAGGTGAGGGAAGGTCCAGGGAGTTGGACCTGGAGTTTTCATGTTCTTCTCGTGTTTGAGTTTAAAAACATCCATGTTGGGTTTCTGCTTCAGGCTCAGACTGATTCTGTGACCTTASTGGGATTTGTTTGATTAAATTAGTTATTACATAAAAAAGGACAGTTATTTGATTTACTTTTGATACAAAATGAGTCTTGTGACACTCGACAGATTTGTATTATTTTTTTCCCTCATTTTAATGCTTGTTATGCTTGAGAGGAGGCCTCTGATTGGATGGTTTCACTCTGCTTTACGAGCTGCTCAGTTCTCAGATGACAGAAACGCTCAGCTGGCTCTCTGGGTGCTTCAGGTAGGRTAAAACAAAGTTTCAGCAGAGTTCAGTGTGTTTTCTTTCACACATCAAGGCTCATTTCCTGTTTCTCCGAAGTGGAAGCTGTTTTCATGTGAAGGAGGCTTCTGTGGTTTTCAGCTCAGAAACAAACATCTGTGAGGCTTTGGTCCACTGGGTGTGTGTGAAAAAGGTGATGCACATGGTGAGATGTTGGCAGCAAGGTTTACTCATGAAAGGATCATAAAAAAAACACCTCCAGTAAAAAAAAAAAACACAAACTTTAAAAAGGTTGAAGGCAGAGAGAAAGAAGAGGCAGATTGAAAACAAGTTAGAGGAAGAAACATCAGAGCAGGATGGAGTTCAGCTCACTCTGCCTCGCTCTCTGTGAGTAAACTTACCTTAACMCAGTGTTTTACTTCCTCATCTTTGTTTTTAGCAGCTTAACACTTTTCATTTATTTTCTTTAACTTTTAGAACAATCTCATGTTTGGAGAAGAAAAGAAAATGGCTAAATATCAATTTTAAGTGATTGATTCTCTTTGTATTAATGCAAAGTATTAAAGCCACACAATGAGATTATTATAGTTTTATCACAAAAATAAAGTCAGAATATTAAGGCATTGAAGTCGTAACATTACGGGAATAAAGACATAATATTACAAGAATAAAGTCACAGTATTATGAAATTAAAGTCAATATTAAGAGAGTAAAGTCAGAATATTAAGGGACTATTACAAGATTAAAATAGTAATATTACGAGAATAATGTCATAATATTACAAGATTAAAGTTGTGGCATTAAGACATAATCTCCTAAGATTATAACTTTATTCCTGTAATTATGATGAGAATAAAGTCAAGAAAAAATAGAAAAAGTTGGTTCCATTTATGTCAGAACTGAATCTGGAGCTCAAACTGAATTTAAAGTTTCTACTTTTGAACAACTCAGCAGCATATTTGTCCTACAAAATCATGTAAAACAGAGGTTCTCAAACTGGGGTCCCTGGACCCCCAGGCGTCCGCGAGAAGCATCTTGGGCGTCCTCAAAAAAATTTACTAAAATGTTAATTTGGTTTTTGTTGTTTTAAAATGCATGGAGAACAATGAACTAATAAAACAAGCATAATAAACTTAAAAATATTTATTACCAAGGCATTTAGGGGTTGAAATGACAATAAATTATCTTTTAAAACAGCATGCAGTTTATGAGGGGATCCCTGGAATTTTTTTTGTCCTTGTAAGTGGTCCCCAGACCCAAACGGCTTAAGAACCCCTGATGTAAAATGTAAATAAAACCAGGATGAAATAATATGCAAATCTCAWAAACTCCTGTTTTATTCTCAGCAGAACACAGGGAACATTTTAAGTGTTGACATAAGAAAACACAAAAAGCTCATTTTAAATTTAATGTAGCAACACGTCTGTAAAGAGCTGTTCTCAGAGCAACTAAAGGTTGGAAGTTTAACTAACGGAGTTATTTGTCAGCAGAGCTTCAGCAGCCCATGCAAACCTGGATGATCTCATCAGTAATTCCTTCCTGTGTGGTCCCCCTGCAGCCTCCCTGAGGATCAGTCCAGACCAGGTCCAGTTCTTCAGGTACGACACAATCACTCTGACCTGTAACTCCAGCGAGTGGACGGTGAAGAGGACCATCAGAGACAGAAGTCCTGAGGCCTGTCAGCKCGGCTGGGCCATCCGGAGCGGCTCCTCCTGCATCATCGAGGCAGCTTACCCAGAAGACACTGGGGCGTACTGGTGTGAGTCCGAGAGAGGGGAGAGCAGCAGCCGGGTCAACATCACCGTCACCAGTAAGCATCAGCTGTTTGTGTGACGTTTTGTCTGAATTAACAGTCGTAACCAAACATTTTAAATTTATATTTCAGCTCACGGCGTTATTCTTCAGAGTCCTCTGCATCCTGTGGAGGAGGGAGGTAACGTCACGCTGCGGTGCTCCTACAAGGAGGACGACGATGCTCAGTCCACGTCAGATTTCTCCGCAGACTTCTACAAAGACGGAGCTTTCATCGGGTCAGAGAGCCCGGCGAGGAAGACTCTGACATCTGTGTCCAAGTCTGATGAAGGCTTCTACAAGTGTCAGCATCCTTCTACCGGACAATCACCACACAGCTGGCTGGCTGTGAGAGGTGAGGCTGCAGGCTCCGCCCCCGCCCTCTCTGCTGTGCTTCAGCGCTGTCTCTGAAGCCCCGCCCACATGAGAAACATCCTGATTGGCTCATTTTGTAATCTCAGTTTATTATTGATAACAGATTAAAGTCATTCATCTTATTCTGAAAATTTGGCCTTTTTAACTACAAAAAAGTTTGAATTTTGATCCAGTTTTTGTTTCATGACAAATAAACTCAAATTTAAACTTTTAACAGTTTATTTCTAAAGAATGTAATGAAA